ATACAACACTGTGGTTGACGAAAATTATTATTAACAGGACCACAGCTTTTTTATCAACTAAAACTAAAATACACTAAGTAGCATTTAAAGGTACTGCTGCAAAAAGCTGTGGTGTAGAACAAATACTTACTGAAGGAACAGCACGAGAGCAGCTTCTCCACGTGTATAACATAACAGCATACTTCTCACCTTCTTCAAGCATCTCATTCTACAAAGTGAAATAACATTAAAGGTGAATAATAGAAGTATGTTTAATCGAAGCATTGTAGGTTCTCTGGCTAGATTGTGGAATACCCGGCCCACTAAATTGCTAACTTCAAAAACTGCTCCCACAGTCACGTAGTCATCCGATTTGCATAATAACCTCTGACATTGACTGCGGGAGTGCAAGACTGTGGGATAGTTACTTGACATTGACTGCAGGAGTGTGGGACTGCAGGAGCACTTGTCTTACTCCCTTAGATTTAAATATTTGGCATAATAGAACACGACTGCAGGACTGTGAGAGCAGTTTTTCAAGTAAGACATTTAGTGGCGCGGATATTCTGCAATCGCCCCTAAATCCTATGACTGGCCTCTGAATTCACTGAGCTTTATTATTTACAAAATAAAAATAAAAAGATGATCAGTAAAATAAAGGAGGCGTACTTTAATTTTTGTATCAACATCAAAGACGTTTACAGAATACACCACTGACAATAACATGTCATTCAGGGAATATTATGCCGGCTCGAACGAAAGCAGACAGGAGCAACCATGAAGTCCAAGCTTCGCTCCTAAAGCTGGCATTAACGACCCACATGAGCCTTAACTGAGTTAAGTTTCATGCCAGCTCTCGTACTCGTTAAACCACCGGCCCAATGCTTGCCAAGAGCAGTAATCAACTTAGATATTTTATGCTAAATCTTATATTTTGAAGGAATGACAGAGTCACACCTACCAAGCCCTTGTGTACATCCGCTTCTTCTAAATACTTGCTGATACATGTTATAAAGGCCTTGCTGTCTTCAAAATTTGTGTCGAAATTTGAAATGTAAGTAACAGAAGCAGGAGGTGCTTCGATTTGAGGTTGTTCGTCCGGTAGATTGATGGTTTCAAGCTGACGGACATTGCTGATCCCATCTTCCAGCGTCGCCATCTTTGTTATCTCCCAGGATGCCTTTCAGGGCGAGGTTGATTTCCGCTTCGTTGGTTTTAAATACTACCCCACCCTACAAAGTTTCACGACATCTGCAAGTCACACCACCCATAAAAGAACTGTGATAATACCATCAACAGGTGGACGGGAAGTGTTGGGGTTCCAGTTATCTTGATACCTTGTCCGATTATTAGATTGCGGTTTGATCTGTAATAAAGTATTAAATTGAGACACAGGTCCCCCAGGATCACATGACATTGTAAGTAAGGAGGGGGTAACAGAGAAGACTATCATAACATGAGACTATGAAGAGCAAAACCGTTCATACGAATATGAGTGAATGAAAATAATTTCCATGAGAGACTTCACTCTTACCGTTTTAGGGAAAGAGGCTAGGGGCAGATCAGAATAGCCTATTATCACCTGTACATCTAAGAGATGGGCCTGAAGGGCTTGGGCCCCCCACCCTATTTTTAGGCCAATTAAATAAGATAAACACAACCCTCCCCCAAAAAAGAAGATAAGCAAATGTATTATGGTAAAATAAATATTATAAATAAGAAAAAATTGATCTTGATACCAGAAATAGGACTTTGAGAGTGACCACACCCAGCTCAGTTATTTGTTTCTTCTAACGTGGTTCACACTTTCTGTTTATTTGAAATTCTTAATATAATATAAAAAACTAAGAGAGGAAGACCTGGAATCACGTTTTCCACTATCAGAGAAATCAGAACACCAATGCTAACTATAACATTTTAGGGCTGAAAAAACAAAAAAACAAAATATATTTTATAAAACAAGTGAGGAAGAATCATCCACCAGAAATCAAGCAAAAAAATATAGCTTTATTACTGATGAATTTGAAATGCACAAGGAGACATTCAGAGCAGTTCACACGGCAAATAACTGGTTGAAAATATGCAAAAAATTGTATATAAATTAACAAGTGACAACCATTTTGGTGAGATATGAGTAAAATTAATTTTATTATTCATAATATTGCACCTGTACAAAATTACATGTTAAAGCCAGATAAACTCCTGCTGACTATCTATATACAGTGCAAGTATCATCATTAACTTGCTAAATGCCTGCCACATAAAGTAGACAGGATATTTTTGACACAATTATTTTCACTGCCACCTGACCTTAAAAATCAACACCACTTGAAAACACATTCAAGTCAATCAAAGGTTCAAACCCATAGGGATCAGGCACTCTTTGCATCATTTGTTCGAAAGAAATATATCCCCAAGCAGTTTTGAATGTAGCCTGCGTAGCATGCATTTTTTTTTTTAAACAGGCCATGCAAGGGGAACACGCAAAGGGAAGAGGAGGCGCTCGCAACAAAGGCCTCCTTTTCTCCCCTCACACATCCTCAAGATTTCTTCCTTTGCCCTAAAAACCCAGCTCCTGCTTGAATAGAGATTACCGGTATGCTTAAACTAAAAAAGAATAAACACTGCCATTTTTTCTCAGAAAAGGTAAGGTCATTATCAAAGGAATAGCATCCCTGGTATTGATTAAAGTAAAATTGTTTACTAAAGTATTTACAGTTTTCTGTTCACCTTTTTTTTGTTTTCATTAAAGACACACCTGAGTACATTCTTTCATTATTTATGTATGAAAACTAGCATTCTAAAATGTTTGTACAATGACAACCATTAAGATTGGATCTCAAAATAATTTAACCCTTTAAGGTAACTCAGTGCCAAAAATGCACCCATTGAAAAAAAAGCAGAAGAGAAGAGAAACTAAACATCTGTTTCCGTGTTATATCACACAGATTTCAGCTTTGCCTTGAAAGGTTTAGTGGCAAAGTACCACCACAACAAAACCAGGAATGAGAAAAACAAGCTCTAAAGAAAATAATATTCAAGAGGGTCCCCAGAAACTGCCTAATTCAATAGAAAGGATTGGGGTTTCAAGAGAGAGAGATTTAATATTGAACTTTTTAGTGGATTAACACAGATTGATGGTGATGTGAGATTTGGAAAATCTAAAAGAACAAAAATCTTTTAGAATAATGAGGTGCAGTTTTCTTTCAAATGGAAAAAATAACTTTCATTTCAACTTACAAAATCCATAATTTTTAACTCTGGGATGTGGCTGTTATGACCATATGCCTCTAGGTCTTCTATGGTGAGGAAATCTGAGCCTTCTTTTAAGGCACTTCTTGAAATGCACAAATTATTTTATTTAAGACCAGCATTCAATGATAAAAACGTTGAGATAACTGGGCGGGTCAGTGTAAAATGCAGACTGCAGACTATTGTTTTCACCATGCAAATGAGTACTTGACAACAATAGTCCCATTGTTTTCTAACCCTAAAAACAATAGTCAGCAGTCTGCATTTTACACTGCCCCCAACTGGGATAACTTTGGTTGAGATGATGGGTTAAAAAAAACCCACTGGGTACCCTCACACATATACACAGCTGTATTATTATGATCAACTAACCACCATAAATACTTCTGTTATTTTACTGACAAAATAATATAACACAGCACATTAGAGTCAGATAATGTGACTTATTTGTTTGTTAAGTTATCTGAGGTTGGATGACCTCCCTCTCGCCCCCATCTATAGGGCATCCTTTTATAAGGTTCATGCTTTTGCTGATGTAACAGGTTTGGAAATCGGGGTGGAACTGGAAGTGGCAAGGGGGGGGGGAGCGTGAATTTTTTGTGGAAAAACTCAACGGCCAATTACATGGGTGATTTATTGTGAGATTTGCACGGACCAAAAGCACGGAACAGGCAGCACACCCAAATCATGCACATAAATAATCAGCAATTTAAACATGATTTATCACAGGGACCTGTGTCTCAATTTAATACTTTATCAACAAATCACTACAAATGTGATTAGTGCAGCTAGGCAATTTCTGTCTGCCTTATGTGTTTGCAAAGTTCATAAAGGTAGTATCACAGATTCTACTCAAAAGCGTGCTGGCAGATTGTGCAAAATCAATGCTCCTCTCGCAAAACTAAACCATCCATGTAAATGGCCTTTAAATTAAGTTGTAGACTGCTACCATATGACAGTGGACACACTTCATATAATACTAGTTAAAGTACATCCCTGAAACGAATAATAACTGACATCACGGGGTTATGAGCACTATTGAATTATTAAAATAAATTACCGTTCATTTTTCATAACAATTCACTATTTACACATAAATGCACAGGAAACAAAATAAGGTAAAAAAAAATTACAAGTTTAAGAAAAAATCCATGGAAGCTAAAACCCTCTCAAAAAATGGATGCCAAAGGAATGACTACTAATAAATTCTCTTCTAGGTTGACTAATAGTTTTCATCAACATCATTTTACTATTGAATGACAAACAGACAGCTGGTACACTGTACACTTGATTGATTAACAGAATATTTTTAGTGTATGTTTTCTCAGAAAAGGTCATAGATGTGATGAATATTTTGAAGCTTAGCATCCTTGATAATTCACATTTGGTAAACCCTTGGTCAATCCTGCACCATATTCAAGAAACTTACTTTGCACTGTTTAAGTGCCTCAGAATTATGTCGTACAGTGGAACCTGGATATAACGAAGGGCCAAGGGACTGGGAAAATTTGTTCGTGCTAATGAGGTTTTGCTATATTGAGGTTCTTTTCCATACATTTTATTATTATTGGGGCAAAGAAAACTGTTTGTTATACCAATGACTTTGATATGCTGAGGTTCATTATATCAAGATTCCAGCGTACTGGACTTTGAATAATCAAGAAAACTGTTTTCATTCCTATGTTTAAAGAAAGGCTCCACCTTGGAAGCCAGTTTATAAGAAAGGGTTATAAGTGTCATTCTTCAAATAAATTAAGAAATTTTTTCTTCCTACTATCCACACTAACAAGCAGGAAAAAAGGAAAACGCTAAAGAATCAAGGAAGTTAACTCCCAACAACTGCCCTACCCTACCCCTCAAGAAAACTTAAGGGGTGTTGATTATATTGGAAGATTATTAACATATGCACATGGAAACGTCACTCACCAATTTACTACAAGATGGTCAACATCACCACGAATCTGCATGCTGTACAATTTTACATTTCCGGACAAATTTGGAGCACAAGTCAGACATAAATAGTACGCGATGAAACCAGCACGCGCGAGTGAAATACGCCAAAGTGGTTAATTTCTTTAGTATCACTTATAAAGTGCTAGAATAATAAAATTCCACGAATTTATTTTACAAATGTATCCGTAAACAAATTACCATGCATGAATTGTGTCGGTCCCGCATGCTTAGGTAATCTGCATATAAAGCGACCGGCCACGCCAGTCAGCTGTTTAAAAAATCTCAATAAAAAATTCGGGGAGCTCAAACTATCAAGCGCCTGGAAGCATTCTCGCTGTTGGTCGGGCCGTTCGCGGTAGCTTCAGCTTTGCATTTTGTAGGCGTCTCGATCAGTTCGGGTTTGTCGCCTTCGAGATGCCGAATCGCTTGAACGATCGTGTCCAAGTTCTGTCGTGAAGTAGCAAGCGCTTTTTGCGTCTTGTCGCTTGATTTTAACTTGGTCTCGGCAAGATCAATCTCAAGCTGTCGCTTCTTTTCCTCAACGTTAATCCGCAATCTCCGCTCTCGTTCCAATTGGCACCTCAATTCAATGAGCTCCTTTTGTATTTCTTCAACATAGTCATCTCCGTGTAGTAATGAACTTACGTTGTTGTTTTCTTCGATCTTGTTAGTTTCTTGAGCACGTGGCTCATGTTCCAATTTTGCCTTCTTTTGAGGTGATCGCTTTAAATCCGTCCCATTCGTCCCTTCTCTATCACACTGGCTGAGGATTCTTTTTAAAGTCGTATTTTGCTGCAAAAGTCGAGTCTTGTCTTGCTCCAGGGCGAAAATATACTCAGCTGTTTGCTGCAGTATTGCGGCCTGTTTACGAAATTAACATCACGAAATCAGTGCTTTGGTAAGTAAAGTTCCCCGAAACTACATTACTGTTCTGATTCCTAATCGACTACCTATACTTAAAATCGTTCAAAAACAGACCTTGCTTAGTTTCTCTCCTTCGCTGTTTGGAATAAGCAATCTCAGTGCTTGGAAACCGGAGTTTATGCTTTGCATACGTCGTCGCTCGTTTGAGTTAGCAATTTCCCGCCGTAATTTTCGTTCCCGCTCTCGATTGTCCACCACTTCGACCTTAAAGCTGCAGAAAACAGTAAAGAACGAGAGAATGAGCTATTTATCTTGAAAACTAAGATAAACAGAAAGAGGCACAACGTTTTACCTGCAATCTTCCTCCTTGTAGAGCTCGTCCATTTCGTACGATTTTCGTTTCTCTGCAGATCGTGAGTAAAATGACATTTCGTAACAGCTCCCAAGACAGTTACAGCGTCACAATCGTCCTTATTTCAATCGAAGATTACAGAAAGAACGAAGCTTCGTTGCAATTTTTCGTAAAACAGAAAGCGAGTAAAGCCGCAGCCAAATCGGCGGGAAACAGCTGTCTTCCTCGATCAGGTGACCGAAAGCTGGAGTTAAAAATTTGAATGCAGCACAGCAGAGGAATGCCAAATGCTGGGGTGATAAGAAGATAACGACTGATCAGATTGACCAGGTTTCGCTAAGAATAAACAACTACATAGGCAGTTTCTTTCCTAAAATCTAGTTGACCAATTAATGCGAGATACGTGATACGTAATAGATTTTATCTTATGTCTTTGAATCTGGCTTGATTTTTTCATAACGGATCAGAGAAGATAAGGAATTACTCTAGATCGATGGTTATTTTCTTATTACCGGTCTTTCATAATACTTTTGTTTTTCGACCAATGAAACGGCTTTTCTTTTAATAGATCTATATTTACATTTTGTGTGTTATGTTCGTACGACCGTGACCCCCAGGCACCTCAATGCAACGATTCGATCAATTCTCTGTTGAGCGAGTTTGTTGTCTACCTTTTCAGCGATGGTTTAAAGGAAAACCATACCCCTCTTTCGACCAAATTGAGGATGAAGCAGCGCAAAGAACAAGAAGCCAACAAAACGCAACTTTTTCTCCATCCCGTTATTTAGTTAGGGGGTGGGGTGGTTGTCCATTTGTTTTAATGAACCTGCCAAAGCAATGCATGAACTTTGCCTGATCGATCAGCTGTTTAACTTAAGATTGAAAATTGCTCTGATTCAAGCCTAGTTTTGTTCCAGTCCATCGGAAAGTTACTTTAATTTATACAAGTTTGTATAAATTTTACCATGTTATCCATATTTGACATAATTTAGGGCGTTTTTCATGGAAACGAAGGTTGTGCGCAAATGAGTCCCCCGCGCTTTGAGTTCAGTTTTCAAAAATCGGGTTGGAAAGGATACCGTAAAATTCCGAAAATAAGCCCCTGCATGTATAAGCCCCTCCAAATATAAGCCCCCAAACCGGTAACGCAAAAAACCCTCCGTTAAATTGCCCCTCCAAATATAAGCCCCCCCGGGGGCTTGTACTTGGAAAATTGCCCTCAAATACAAAGTAAAACAAAGCCAAAACGGTAAATTTACTTCCAACTATAAGGCTAGCTCAATCGATTTTGAAACGCAAACTTCCCCCCATAGATAAGTCCCTCCGAATATAAGCCCCTCCAAAAATAAGCCCCTCAAAAAGGGCCTTTAAAAAATATAAGCCCCAGGGCTTATTTTCGGAATTTTACGGTAGTTTCTATTGTTTTGAAATCTCTGCAGGATATGATAACAATTACAAATAAAAAGTAAATAAATAATTAATAAATTAAGATTACAGCAGTAAGCCAGCCGTAAGAAGTGACAATTTCACTGTTGAAACTGACGATGAGGCCCGAATCTCTTTATGAAAAGACAATAGATCTGTAGCGAACATTGCAAGTGAGTATACTTCTTAAGTTGGGTAGAAGAGGAGTCTGGAGTTTTGACACTTTCATGCACAGACATTTAACAAATAACTTGACCTTCTTCTGACATATGTTTTAAAATAGACATTGAAGATTTTTGACAATAATCGTACACACTGATGTTCTTTAATTCAAAAGTATGTTTAACAGCATGTTTCGTACATGCAGGAGCCCATCAAATTTGATGGGCTCCTGTACATGAAAAGAAATGATAGTGGATTCCCATGAATTTACGAACCAAAAAATTGTTACCGATGGTTTCATGATCTCTCGATCTGGGCACAGTTTCCATGGGATTTGAAATCCTAGGGCTTGAAACTCAGATTTTCAGAAAAAAATTCTGTATAATGATGTCCGTTTGAAGACACCGTACAGCCTTTATAGTAGTAAGCTCTGCAGTAAACTATCTAGCCAGGCAAATGTTATGCACCTATCAATGTAAAGGCGGCGGGGGTGGGGATTTGATTGTCTTTGTTGTCTCTGGGGTAGGGCATTTGACTGATCTTGTTCTCCCGGGGAGGGGATATTTAAATCTTTCTTCGCCCGACGTGGAGATATTTGACGGCCGACTCGGACGAATTTCTGACTCTGGCTTGTATACAAAGGGCGAAGGTGCGAAGTGCGTACGCGGTATGCCAAACTTTTCTAGTCCTTCAGTACCTCCGGTTACTCTTGTTCGCTTCCGACTCACCTAAAGTGACAATTGTCTTAAAATTTCGTTTGTTTAAGAGTGTTTTTGATCAATTGAACCTTTAAAACATACTGTGGTATCAAAGTAAAAGGAAGTAGAGAGAAACCAAGTCGATTTTTGCAAGTACAATTGATTAGTGTATGGCTCATTCGCTACAATCACTGTAAACTTATAAAACTGACTTTCTTTGTACCCTTTACTAAGAACGGTATATTTGGACTTACAAAATGTGGACTTTCTCCAAAAGGTTTATGTATTCTACGCAGTGTAACACGGGTTATGGTTAAAACGTATAATTGCAGCTGTAACAGGAACATGCGTCTTTGGTGATGCAGCAACGTTTATAAAAGATTGCAGAGTTTTATTTGGAGATATTTTTATTGTGCCTTTCTTAGGTTGCATTAGGCTCGAATACTGTAATAGAAAGACGAGCCTCGGCAAATGTTCACTTCGCGTGGGCGCTCGCGGGGACAACACGCACGTGATAAGAGGAAGGCGCGGTTGCCAAGCCTTGAAAAGCTATGTTCTGTTCTGCACAGGGGGAATGTATTAGAAGGATTAGACTTCAAATTTCCGTCAAACGTTTCGCGGTAAGTGCCTTAACGTTTTAAGTATTTTGCTATAGTTTTAGCCTTCCTTTGGAGAGATCTTAAATTCTGACCACAAACTTTGGAATAGCGTGATCAAAAGGACATTTTAAACGACGTACTGTGGGAATAGATTAAGCTTACCTGCAGTAGTAACGTCATTTCCCATCAATCAAAGTTTTAAGAGATACCGATCGCTAAACACATCTTCACCCGGGAATTTCTAGCCGGATAATTGCATTGTTGAGCCTTAAATTTGACAAATTAATCTGAGATAGGTTTTGCAGGTCAATGTGAATATAGCATTGATGTGCGTGATTAGACTTTATAGACAGGAGTGAAATGTATGGCCGTTGTTACATCCAATACCGTAATTTTATTAACGGCAAATTGTTTTGGAAGTATAGGCAGTGTTATAGTAAATCGGAATTCGAAAATTCGAGTTCTGCATCATATGTATCATTTCCATGTGTGCTTATAGATGACACATTGAAGAGGAATTCGTATTTTTTATATGTCGTGCTTGGTTATTAAAATTCTTGTACTTCATTAAGCTTGTGACTTAAGTTCTTAGTTTAAAAAGATTGAAAGTCATAAGCCGTGTTATTCAATAACATAATCGGATTTTTGGATTTTCGGGTTTTTCTCTTAAACACATTTGCAGGAGCAAAAGTAAAATAAATTAATCGAAATACTGTAATTTTTTAAAGTCTCACTCTCTTAAGGGGAATTAAACTCAGAATTCATTTTTTTGACTCATAGGTTATGCAAAGCAGAGTTGTAAGTTTTATGTTATCACTCACTCACTCATTCACTCAGGTGTAGACACTTTATTACAAGTCAATCCCAAACTTGAGAGCACCAGTGATATGTTGCTGAAGTTGACTGCAATCAAAGTTTGCTCTGAGGATAGGAGTTCACCATAAATGAAGTCTTATGCCCCCTTTATATGGAGAAAGGTCATTTCGTGTACATGTAGAAGGGTCACCTTCTTACCCAAGCTCCCCTGGGCAAACCAACTTTTGATACATTTCCTAACAAACATGGTTAACTGTTTACGTGAGAAACAAAAAAATTGGCTTGGCTAGAAAGGTGACTCCCATAACTGGGTTACCCTTTTGTGATGGTAGGGTCCTTAGCAAGGCACATTTTTCTCCATATAAATGCCTTGGCTCTCCCAGCTGGGTCAACAGAATCATTGGCAAGACAATAAGAGCATGTATGAGCACTGTGTTAGACAATCAGAGCATGGGCAAGTGCTGTTGGTTTGGGCAAAGGGGTCAGCTGTTTTCTCACATAAACGCTTGTTAGATTTGACTTGGCTGGGAGGGTGATCCTTTTATCATTTTTTCCATATAAAACAGGGTGTTATTCCTTATATAAATGTCCTGGCTTACGAGTATTATGAAGAACAAATTAAAATATTCATTTAGTGAACTTGGTACCATAATTATCCATAATACATGTGTATTTCTCAGTGCTCAACTTTGGGTGACCACTCATTCACATTGGTAGCCCCCCTAACAGGCTTACTGCATAACTATAAAAATTAACTGTACCTTAAAAATTACCTAGGTTAAAAAAAATCAACGTACTGGCCGAAATCAAATTTGACCTATAACATTCATTTGATATTATTATTAGCAGGAGGCCATAGTAAATACCACTTCTGCTGAACTGAATGAGAGCTTTTAACAACAATCCTACGGAGATGGTTTGTCATGCAGCACTGTATAACATTTTTGTGTTCACCTCACATATGATGTTATTTAATTGACAGATGTCAGATGAATTGGACAGTAGTGACCAAGAATACTCAAAATTAGACAAAGAGAAAGAAGAGGAAAAAGAAGTTCGGGTTGAAGTGCAACTTGAAAAATGCACTGCCAATGCCTTAGCTGTAACATCTGTCTCCGAAATGCTAGACCAGGGTGATGTCACCTCTGTCATAACAAGTCTATCTGCAGAAGATTCTGTTCTTCACAGTCAGTCAGTTCTTAATGAAGCAGAAACCATTGCTTCATCAGGTGACTTGGAAAGCTCACCCTGTCTGTCAGACACACCTGTGTCATCTGACCTGCTGTCTGATTCACCCACCATCAGTTCAACTGTAGGGCTTCTTCATCAGCCAGTTGTCTTAACTTCTTCTGTACTGCCTTGTGTGTTGACGCATGTGCAAGGGACATCAGAACTTCTCACTGGTGAACTGCATGAACAGGAAAGTCAAGAGGAATTGTTAATGGTAAAAGGAGAGGATAGAGAAGTTCTGGAACCTTGTGTTGTGGTGAGTCATGAAAGAAACTCTTAGTACAGTTGAACCTCCATGTGTAACCACCTCTCGTAAGCGACCACCTCCCTTAAACAACCACCCATCCAAAACACCAAAATTTTCCCAGTCAAAGCCTTACAGTTGGAACCTCTAGTAAACGACCACCTCCTGTAAGTGACCATGACCACTTTTGGGCCTTACAGTTAATGATTTTCCATTGCTTTTAATCTCTTGTAAGCGACCACTTGACGCATTCTCTGATCTGTATGTTCGCTGTGTGTAGTATGAAGATATGAAGAACTTTAGTGACAACATGTAACAACATATGTTGTAACTTAGACATTGCATGCAATAAATTATCTTCCATTAAGTAGATGTACCTGGACCTCTTCTTCGAACGGAGGCACCCTGTGGTTTGAATCTTGTAAACAACCACCTTCCCTAAGCGACCACTAAGTCTTTGCATTTTGGGTGGTCACTTACGGGAGGTTTGACTGTAGTGTCTGACCTATACCCACCTACTTTTATTCAAGCAAAAGGCATGAAATTTTTATCCCAAGAGTCCCAGCATTTTTCTAGAGAGCCCACCTCATCTCCACTGCTTTCTTTTCTTAAATCAGAGTATTTTTGGAAAGTACCATCATTCATACAGACTCTTCTCAAGTTGGTTCACGTTTGTTGTGCTTTATATGTATATTTTTCCTGCCTGATTCAAGATCAATAATGGCCTTCAGGTATGGGGGTTCCTTGAAATAGCCCTTTGGAGTGTTTTGATGTCAGGATGTCATGTTACCATAATATCGTCTCTTTTTCATTCCCCTTCCACTAATTTGTATATGAATTTTGTTAACAATAACTTGTTGACAAAGTCAGTCAGTTATGTTTTTTGTTTATTCTTTGCTAGTTTACAACAGCTGAGGCCATTCAGACAAGCAAATCATCTGACAAGAACTCATCACCAGCAGCAACAGATGTCGTGGTCACGAATCCGTCTAGTCTAACCTACTTGCGGCAAATTTTTGATCCGGAGCAAGTAAGCCCCCAAGGCCAAATAGTGTCAGTCTTGCCCCATGGTATGACGTCTCCACTTTCGCCAACTTTGCCAGAACTTCACTCATGTAAATGGGATAATTGCTGTCATCACTTCTTGTCTCTAGAGGATCTTGTCACTCATGTCAATGATACCCATATAAGGACAGAAGCCAGTGAATACTGTTGTTTATGGCAGGGGTGTCCCCGTAATGGAAAGGGGTTCAATGCCCGGTACAAAATGTTAATACACATGAGAACACATACCGGTGAGAGACCCCACACGTGTACACATGACTCTTGTGGCAAGAGCTTTTCACGACTAGAAAATTTAAAAATTCACACACGGTCGCACACTGGAGAGAAACCTTATGTCTGTCCAGTGGCGGGTTGTAACAAAAGGTACTCTAATTCAAGTGACAGGTATAAACACACACGGACACATTCAGAGACCAAACCATATCACTGCAAAGTGGCAAACTGTTTTAAAAGGTATACAGATCCAAGTTCACTGAGGAAACATTACAAGACTATTCACGGCAAGGATGTGATTTCAGAGGAACAAGAATGATGTACATAGTATGATTAATCATGGAGTGGGGTTGATAATTAATTTTTGCAATTTCTCCTACTAGGTGCTGGCTTACAACTAGTGAACCTCAGTTGACCTATGGCACCGGGAGGTACTTTAGAAATGTTTGGGTAGGGGTGTGCGGCTGGGACCGAGGAACCCTTAGCCTATACCAGAAATGTAGGCCTTTGTACATTATGCGAGCATTTCAGTGAGGCAAAAGCATTGAGCATTATTCGAGCATTTTAGTGGCATTTTAGTGGCATTTTCCCCGGAAAATTAATTTTTCCGAGAAAATAGAGTAGAAATTAACTTTTTTCAGGAGCCCATGCCCCATGAGCTCCCGCTTTTTTAAACAAAATGAAGACTAAAATTCAAAATTCATAAAAAACCTAATACAGCTGGTCTTTTTGGCTGTATTTATGAACTTGTACACATTGTCGTTGTTACTTGCAACACTTGCACGTTTTTGTAAGTGTAAACTTTGAAATTAATTAAAAAAACCGTTTGTATAATGAGCATTATCCGAGCATTTTTGGGGAGACCAAGCATTTTAGTGGGAAAAATGGAGCATTAAGGTGGAGCATTTTAGTATGGAAGCAAAAGCATAATGTACAAAAGCCTAACCACATGTTAGTTTTTTGATAAGCAGCAAATGGTCAGTTTTATTAATGCATGTCAAATTAGTTTAAAATTTGTTATATTCTACCTAGTTAGCCTGAGAAAACAGCCAACATTTGGTGATGCTACCACTCATTTCCCTGCCAAATGACGTCTGAGAAACAAGCACAGAAATTCCATACTGATGACACGTCACTAACCAGATCTGGGTAGTGCTTCTGATTCGTTGTGCCATGTGTGAAATTTGGTTCAACCAATCATAAGCGCTACCCAGATCTGGGTAGTGATGCATCATCAGTATGGAATTTCTGCGCTCGAATCTCTAACGTCATTTGGCAGGGAAACCAGTGGTAGCGTCACCGTATGTCTGTTGTTTTCTCAGGCTACCACCTAGTAAGCTTAGCTTTAAATTTTGCTGATAATGAAAAAATTATTATAATCATAACAATAAAGAATTTTTCAACCTTATTGGCCTTTGACAGCGCTGATTACAGTAACCTGAGTAGCAAGTATTTTTGCTCTCTTGTTCTCATTCCAACTTTCGCTACTAATACAGGCTATGCTTTCAATATCAATAGGGTGTTGCAACAGGTACATGTCTTGCTTCAGTAATAGACCTTTTTACGGATACAGTGGCATATTGAATTAATTGGATTTAAGGAGTATTATGGGATGCCCAGGGGGCACGAGCATGATCTGATTTACTCGCTCAGGATTTAAGTGCGCTTTTCGGCCAATTTTTCTTTAAATTTTCCTAGAAAAAGATTGTAATGGGAAAAAAAGGTCATTGAGCCATGTTTGGATGTAATACTAATTGCCTTTTTCCCAAGAAATATACAGTGAAGTTCTCTTTTTTCCCAAAAAGCGCACATAAATACTGAGTGAGTGCCCCCTGGGTATCCCATAACCCTCCTTAAATCTAATAAAATGCAATATGGCCACCATATCGGTAAAAAGGTCTATTGAACAGTATGTGCCATTGTGTGCATTGTAGTAGGACAGTGGAACTTGAAGAGTTTTTTATTATTATTTTCTTGTGGTCCATAAATAGGGCTGTCTCAAAGTCTGCGGGTATGTGCAGTTAGCAGCCTGTAGTAGAATTGAACAGTTAGGAAGTTCTTTTGGTTCTGTTTTCCTTTTGTTTCCAATGAAAGTAGCCGGGGGTCACGTTCATGCGGTCAAGGTATCTTTTCACCAGAAATCAAGACAGTCAAGTGACTCTAATCTGTTTTTTCAAGTTGACAATAGATTTTCTTGTGTAATATTATACCCACAGAAGAACACAGTGTGCATTAATTTGCATGCTAGAGTTAGAATCTTGACCCCATATCAATTCATAAATATTAAGACAGTACTATTTTATTATTAGCACCCTCTTCCTCAGACGGCAGGGACTTTTCTCCCTTTTTTCAGGTAGGCAAAGGCAAGTGTGAGCCACTCATGGCATGTCTGGATCTCTATGCCAGCTTCACACTTGTCTTCACTCACCTGAAAATTGCAAGAAAACACTGCCTGTTCTACATGCCCGGGAGGGTACTCCCTTATATAAGCCAAATAGGAATGTGCTGCCCAAAAGGGTAGGGTTCTTGCGCCGTTTTGGTCTAAAAACGGGTATAGACTTCGCCCATTTTGGTCAGGAATTGGATATGGTTTTCGAGTGAACTACGTTTCAATTCAAAATGATTAACAAAGAACAAAAAATGTGCGAATCTAAGTAATAATGGTAGTCTTTACACTAGAGCCTAAGTAAGCTAAGAAATATTTCAATACAAGTAAATTTAATTATTTCAAGCTTCGCACACAACGGATTCTGTTTTACTTCAGGTTAACTTAAGGCTATTTTCCCACGCAACATAATTAAGATTGATTGACATATTTCACCTTTCTCAAAGCTCAAGTAACCGCAAGTCAGCTAAGGGCCTCTTCATATGAGCCCGGTTGACCGGGCTGGCTCGGTTACCGGAATGAATTTTGCTTTGGGTTCATATGAGAAATTTCAGCCCGGTTTCCGAGATGAGAAAAGGTCAAAGATCCTGGGTACGAGTTCTGGCGCCAAATTTAGGAAATAAAGCAAACATAGCAAAACAAAAAAATTTTAACCTTTGGGCCTATCTTAGCATCGGTAACTCTTAAAGCTGTATCACTGCAGTTAAATGAGATGTTTATGATGTGGAAAATACAGCAGGCAATGCAAGACGATGCCATCCGGACCGCCAGAATTCATCCCGCTGTTCATCCCGGTAACCGGGATGAAGTGTTCATATGGCAAAATTTCCAGCCCGCTTACCGAGATCTCGGTTGGAAAAACCGAGATCTCGGGAACCGAGCCAGCCCGCGCTCTCATATGAACACATCGAAAATTTTACAAAGGATTTAGAGGTGAGGCGAGATCTCGGAAACCGGGCCAGCCCGGTCAACCGGGCTCATATGAAGAG